CCCAGAGCAGATACCTGCCTTCAGCTTCAGTCCTCTAAGCCCCTTTCCCCACAGGTTGGCTCAACTCACAGACACACAACCTGCCTGCTACCCTGGGCCCTCCCATCTCTGTGGGGTCTCTGATCTCTGAGCCCAGGAGCCCCATGACCTGGAACAGGCCTGAGGGGGTGAGAGAGAGGACTGAGGGCCTGAGTGGGAACAGCCGGGGAGCTGTGGCCTCCCCACCATTGCCATTGGCTTCTGGGCATCAGGTCCCAGAAGTCCCGGTGACTATGTTCCCCCTCCAGGTGTCAGGCTGACCCCTAAAATCTAATTTTACTGTTACTGAGTAACACGACATGATTGTTAGCCATTGTTACCGTTGTAACAGCCCTTTGCGCACTGGGTATATGATACTTAGCAACGTCACAGTGTCACTCAGCTTTGCTCTCTGAACGCCTGTCTTCCCAGCCAGGTTACAAGGGTCCCCGCCCCACCCCAGCCCCGCCACAGTTGAGGACCCGGCTGAGTCTAGTCCTTTCCTGCGGCTCCTCTGTAGCTGCAGAGCCTCAAGCAGAACAGGTGCTCAGAAGGCACTGGCTGTTGAAGGTGGATATCAAGACAGCCCCCCGCCCCTCTTTCCAGGGTCACCGTCATCATCAAGTAGGGGTCACTGAGGTCCAGAGATGGGAACTGACACACAGAGCCAGGCCAGTGTCCAGGGCAGTAGAAACTGCCTCCCTTCAGAAGGATGCAGACCAGGAGGGCTGATACAGCTTTCTGCTCATCAGTGTGCCGTCCAACTGCAGAATCTTCTAGCAGCAAACACACTCCTCTAGTGACCCTTATAATACAAGTCTGATCGCAGTCCTCTCATCTTTTTTCAGAGTAATGCTGAAATCCCTCCCCATGGTTTACAAGGCCCCACTCAATGGGCCCCCATGTCCTTGCTCCCCTCAGAGCACTCTAGCAATCATCCAGCCCCACGGCCTCTGCACTTGCTGTTTTCTCTGCCTGGGAGAAACTCCCCCAGAGATCTATGAGTTCACTCCCTGCCCTCCTTCACACCTTTTCTGGAGCATCATCTCCCTCTGTGCTGTCTTCTTGACCACCCCAACCCCCAGCAACCCCTCACCTCTTCCTGGTTTTACCTTCTCCACAACACTTCTCACCATCTGACCTCCTCATACTTTACTTCTTTATTCTTTGCCTGTCTGCTCCCACTGAAACCCAAGCTCCAAGAGGCAGGGATTTTTTTGTCTGTTTTGTTTATGGCTGTATCCCTAGAATCTAGAACAATGCTTAGCACATAATAGTTGCTCAAGAAATACTTGCAGAATGAGTTGACTGAATGCGTGTGAGCAGATCCGGAAGAGGAGGACCAGGACTTCTCACCCAGATGGTTCAGGTGAGGTCGACAGTAACTGGCCGCCAACCACATGCTGGGGATGAGGCTACCCATTCATCTGTTCACTCAGCAAATATGTGTTGAGCGCTTACGATGTTCTGGGCGCTGCTCTAGGTAATAGGGCTCCAGTCCAAAGTCAGATAGACTTGACCCCTGTCCTCCTAGGCTTTCTGGGCTAGGACAACACAGACACTAGGCAAGAGTGTAACTATGTGAGGAGAAATGTATCAGATTGGGATAAGAATTATGAAGGAAACGAACAGGGTGATAGAGCAGGGAGTACCTGGGGTGGGAAAGGCCATTTGCACAGGGTGGTCCGATATCTCACACTAGCTCAAAACTGCTTCAGGGGTTCCTCATCTGAAGCTCAGAGAGGTTAAGTCACTTACTCAAAGTCACACAGCTAGAAAGTAGCAGAGCCAGAGCTTGAACACAAGTCTGAGTCCAGCGCCTGGTATTTTTCCACTAGACCCCAGAGCCTTCTCTTTCTTCGCACAAGACCCTGTTTCCATTCAAATGGTAGGCTTGTGCCTAAGTGCCCTCCACCAAAGGATGCCTTGCTATTCAGAAACATTGAAAAGAACGGGCAGAGACGGAGAACTGGCTCAGGTCGTCAGAGGAGGATAGGATTTCCAGACGGACGTCCTGCAAAGAGGCGAGGTGGCCTGTCCCCAGAAGGGTGGAGGGA